AATAATTCGTTCTTATTGCGAAATAGGAGCACTATTTATCAATCTGTAATAAAAGACGTGAGAAAATTCTGTCTTTTTTAAAGACAAAAATTTTTAAGGCGAAATGCCCAAAAAGAAGTTTGTAAGAAAATGAATCTGCCTCAACAATATAGAACTTATTAAAACGCATGTTTTTATATTTTATTAACTATTATTACAGAGGAAAAATGGGATGAGTATTCAAATGAAAATGAATGTTTTACATGCCCCTCTTCTAACACTTTTTAATGGATATTATAGAAATTGCCCAGAAAAAAAAAATGTTTTAGCTTGAAGAATTTAAGTGACCAAATTTACCCAAACTAACACTTCACAACCCGCTCCTGGTTTTAATCGGTATTGGTGATGACAATGAGCGAATGAGCACATAATTCATGCGGAAGCGGTGACACGAACGACGTGTGACATTTGTGTGCAATCAAGGCCCAAATAACTCATTCACGATCAGTCCGATGATGAAGACTCGTAAACGGACCCATTCGTCATGTTTCCCCGTGTATTTACACCAAACGTGTCCGATATTTATAAATTTTTCATATTTGTCACATTTCCTCTTTAAAGAGTTTTCAATGTTTGTTGATTACCTTATTATTTACAATGTCAGCAAATGATCCAAATGAGAGTCGCACTTCTTAGATTTTTCTTGATTCCCTTCAAAGAGTTTAGGCATGGATGGATTAGATGAGAGGGCGCCAACTTATACATAACTTCTTCATTCCTCTTTTCACATCCTCATTAGCCTCTTCAACAGACTTTGAAATCTCCTACAGCTGTGAAACCGTGTCTCCGAAATCAGTTGCATTAATTTATTGTCTGGTATTCAGTTTGCTCTTTCAGGAAATTAATTTACTGAACCCCCGGATGGTAAATCGGATATAGACACTGTTAAGGGTGACAAGAAATGGACCGTTTTACCCCTTGTAAAGGAGGGTGGACAAAGTGTATTGATATGTCACCGTGCTCAATTGGGTGATAGTAATTTCCTGCTTCAGCCTTCTCTATCCGATTAGAACTCTAGCAGCCTTAGGATGGTCAATTTGCTTTTTAGAACGCTTTAATCCATCTGCACCGATCCAGACTTTCTCCATTTAGGCGTCTAGCAATAATTAGCTAAACCAGTTACACTGTGACTGATAAAACGTTTCGAATTGGTAATCAGCAACTTGACACCACAACCATAACCGTCATCACGTCCATATTATTAACGATAATCACTCTTAAGCCGTCGTCAATTAGCCTGACCAACAGGCCTCCTATTTATGTTATTATAAAATTTAACTACCCGTTTACACGTAATTTATACATTTAATTGTTTTTATGGATACGCAGATATCCGTATCCACTTTGCCAGATCATTTTACTGGAATCGTTAATTGTAAAATTACTGCGACTTTTATGGGTTCTTATCTTGAGAGGATTGATATGCTAACGGATTTGTTCCCAAGAGCGACTTAACATCATGCAGCAGACTTCCCGATTGGGAAATTTGTTGAAAATTCCTCCTCCTCCCCTTCAACAAAAAAAATAACAAAACAGACGAATTTAATCGAGCAGAACATACAAAATGCTCGATCTACCCCTCGGACCATATGCTGCCAAACAGATTAAGCATGCATCTCGAAAATTGATTAGATTAATGGGTTTAGTACAGCATTGCTATGCTGGTCACGAAGTCTGCTTCTTTCTTGGCCTAACTGCACGTAATCATTCTTATTTGCAAATTACTCGATGGAGTTTAATCAGTTAATGTAGCTGAGGCCGACGTTCTAAGAGGGACGTATTTGAATACAGACATGCTTCACTAAACGATAACTATTTGAAGGGAGGCGTGCCAGGTATATTGTTTGAGTCAGCAAAAGAAAAGTTTAGAAGAAGAAAAATCTAACATCCAAATTGACTCAAAGTCTTAGTGGATACGAGAAGCAATTACAATAGTGAATTGAACGATAAATATGTTAACAACGCTCTGCTTTGCAATAAGTTCCAGAAACGAGCAAACAGGAAATTCCTAGATCGGAGAGTGGATCAAATTCTTTACTGGATATATCGCATGCGATTCCCATGTAAAAGTGTTGTACAATCTGCTTTTTGCCAGACACCAGTACGTTCGAAAATACAAGAAAATGCAAATAAGTCAATAAAACTTTCGGTTAATGTTTGTTCACATTTTTTTAATTTAGAAACAAACTGCCTTAATTTATTTTCTTTTTCTTAAAGTATTAAAAAACCATTCTTGGTAGCTGAATTTTCAAATACAGTGCAGTTAAATTGAACTGTTTATAGATTAAATGAAAACTTGTGGAGAAAAAATGTAGGTTTTAGATGGATGTTTGGAAAACACTCAAAAATCTATGAAAACTTACGAACTTATTCTCTTAACGAATTTATTTTTATTTCGTACACAATACTAATTATGTACATTTTGTTCAAACTTAAGCCATTTATGTGTTGCAGTTTGCATCTTACAAAGTTTTAAAGAGAAGGTAGCATTGCAAAAATTGCACTTTTTAGACAAAAAATTTGAAATTATTTTAAAAATCAGCGAACATTATGCATTTGCTATTATTTCTTATCCACTACATCTGAACTTTCTTATATATAATTTTCCAAATTTCAGTTATTTATGTGCAGTAGGTAGCAATTTATGCAAAGGCAAACAGGGATTATGGAAAATCTAGGGTTTTAAAGGAACTTTGGAAAATATTCAAATATCAGTGAAAACGTCGAATTTAACTAGTAGTGCGTTAAAGCCTATCTTTTCCACATTTCAGCCGTCGTAGTTTGCAACTTTTGCAAGTTTAATATCAACCGCGGTCAACAAAATTGCAATTTTTGACAAAAACCCATCCAGAACTAGCTAGAAGCTAAATCAAAATCAGCCATCTTCACCTCCATATTAAGCCAGAAAACTGCTATAACGACCACGTAGTTTCACACATTTTTTCTCGCTCCAACAGTAGAATTTTGTGCCCAATAAAAAAAATTGTTGTACAATTTGTGAACGTAGCTGGAGTATCGCATGGCCAAGTCCATTGCAATTTCTTCTTCGTTCAGTGTGTGCTTTGCTGATAGCAACGGAGGGACGTCAGAGGAAAGGGGCAGCTCAGGGGGATACAAAATGGCGTCCCTGGGGATAGGGTGGAATAGACTGAGGGGAGCGAACGTCTTATGGAGGGTCGCGAACGAGATGGATATTTCGGTTGCGTAGCATGGGGGGAACTGGAGGTGCATCGTATTTGATTTCCGAGTGATGGCAGGAAATGAAGAGTGCGACGAAACCGGACACTAAAGGCAACTTTTTCCCGGAAGTGTTTAGCGCTTGCAAGCACCAAAACTCATGCCGTTCTCAGGTAAAGTAAGGAACCAAGCCGAAAATTAAAAGTGATCTTACCTGTCAATTATCACAGGATCTGAGGGCGTTTCGTTGCGATTGCCGCAGCTCTTCTTGTCGCAACATCGGCTGAAATCAACATACCATTTTTAGTCAATAATAGATACAATTTACATTTCAATGTACATGAAACAGTGAGTTTTTCGTCGAAAATATCATTTTTATAATCATAAAAGCTAGAAACATGTTTCCGTGAAAATCTATAGGCACAGGACGAAAACTTGGAAAAAAGGAAATAAATATACCTCATTTAAAGTAAGGGCACCGTGAGATATTTAGGGTAGAAGATTGGACGGTCCCAACAAAACTAGGGTGGATTAGACCGGGCTTATTGGAATAAATATTTAAATAGCTTTGTTGAATTTAAAGCAACTTTGGGGAGTGGGCATGGAATGGAACTTTTTGTTCTAGGCCAAGACTTGGCGAGTGAAAATGTAAAATGTCCGGTAGTCAGTCAGTAAAAACAGAATGTAGTTATGAAAGTGTTTAACGTTCTAAACAGCTTTTCGATATTTAGGAGCCAGACTAAGGATAAAGCAGGATCGAATTTGCAAGCGGCAAAAATTGAGCAGAAAAAGGCTTAATCTTATTCGGGAGCTAACCCGATCAAAACCCAATTTGCAGAGATGCAAAAGGAGCGGCTTTATTTTATCTCGCGCGTATGCGGCGCTCAAGTTAAGAGGCATAAAACAATTTGTCAAAACCTTCCCGCGCTTAGTTTGTTTACAAGAAAATGAAGTGCCGGAATATTTCCCTCGGCGCGGCAACACGCTTCTATTTAGCAGTTCTAGCGAGTGAAAAATTTCCATCTAAAATCCAGAGAAAAACTCGGTTCATTCTCCAATCAGTTCAATTTGAACAATACAGGTTTTTTCGCTTACCGCTAGCTATCGATTGGGACAGTAAGAATAAGAAAATTTTGAAATTTATCACAAAATGATAATATTTATTTCATTTTAGTTAGCTATTTTGCAGAAACTTAGCTTAACAATAAACAGCTAGAAATTTGGGATAAGCAATAAGGAAAAAATCACTGAACAACTGACAACTGACTGCAAAAACTCACAGAACAAACTGACTCACCTGCACATAATTTCGTGGGTAAGCAGAACTCGGCACATTTCCGGGTTCTTGTCTTGGCCCTCGTAGATGATTGCCTGAAACAATCAAGGAAAGACTTTCTAATGATTTCAAATAATATAGGAGAAACTGAAAATACTAAGCATGTGTAAATTGGCAGTAATTGTTTAGTGGCAGTTTATAAAATATGGAATAAATTCCATTAAAATTCGGGGAGCATTTAAAAAAACATATTTTTGTAAAATTGAATGAAATATTTATAATCATTTTTTTGAAAAAAAAATATTGGATATGTATTACGTAGCTTATAAATTCGTATTTATTGCGAAGAAAGTTTGGTTCCACTAACAGGGAGTTTCCATATCGAGATATTCCAATCAAGTTAAAATTGTCAAGTGAGGTTCTCCAGTGTTTTTTTGCGATTTATGAATGCAACGTTTAATTTCGAGTATTTTTCATAACACTTTTATGAAACATTTAATTAAGTAAATAATTGTTGGTTTTCAGTATTTTAGATCATAGATAAGTTCTACTCGTATATGGTTGAGGCGAATTCATGTTTTCAACACCACGATTATGGGTATTTTGCAACAACATTTTTCTCTTTTGAAAAAGCAGAATTTTCTCACGTCTTCTATTGCACATTGATGAGAAAAGTGTTCCATTTCACAACAAAGAGCGAATTCAATTATATTCGATTTGAAATCAAATGTTGCACAAACGAAACGATGAGATCAATTCTTATTAGATTACATGTGATGGGCGAACCTAAAAAAATCAACTTTGCTTTTAAAGCAAACGTTAAAGACTCAAAAACTCGTGTTTTATTCAAATTTGTCAACATTCTCTAGTTGGTGAGTAACAAATAATGTCTTTCCGACGTTTTGCCAGCGCGAACGGCTTACATCCTCAGAGTTGTTTCGCTCGAAAGCCATTAGACGGAGAACTAGAAACATTTCTGAGGATGTCCGCTACGCGCGGTAGCAAAACGTCGGAAAACATGAATTTCCACGAGATTCTAAAAATCTTCAATCGTCGTCTTGCTGTCAAAAGTGTGCACTTTTAATTGCATTCAATTTTAATTTGCGTTTTATCGTTACTATGAATCCGATATAAATAAAACTCGAAATTAACAATTCAAAGCTGCTAAAGTACCCGTAACAAAATTAATGCAATTAAAGCTGACATCAAAATGGATATTTATAATAATTCATAATTGAAATTATTTGCATTCAGTTTGCAAATATCGATGCATTAAAATATATTATTGAATATTCAATCGAAAATTATATTCGCAAATTAATTTTATGTATATTATTTGGCATCAGCAGCCAATAAAATAAAACGAAAAGGGAGTAAATGTCAGTTAAATATATCGTCCGCAAAAAACGGAAATAATCACCCTATATAAACGCAATATTTGTTCTCCTTTTCTAGCGTTAATTATTGGTATGTCTAGAATGGCCATTTACTAATTAAAAAAAAAGGAAGATGGATATCTGGCGTAAACATGCAAAGATGCATGTGTTGACTTAGTGTCTTTTGTATCTACTGCTTTGCTGGTTAAAGTAATTATTAGCTCACGATGTACAAGCGAAACTATTTGTGTTTCTAGTTTTTCCCAATTGGCGTGCCATGCAAAGAAAACTGATCGATTATCTTGATGGAAATTCATAGTTTTGGTCGAAACAGAGTTAAGGTAAGTCAAGCGTCCTCCTATCAACCACAAGCTTGCTACTAACTATCGGCCCCAACTGTAAGCATAATTAGCCCCTAGGCGGAGAAATCCCTTTTTATCTGGGGGATTTGGTGCCCTAAGTCACAGACATACAGGCGGATTATTCAACTTAGCTTTAGAACAGTTGATAGATTTTTGTTTAATTGAATATGTAGGACGCGTCCCTCTGTTTTGGTGGGATTTTGAAGGATTACCGGCCGGTGTAAGCAGAAGAGCAACATGTGTTGCTCTTGGAATTACACTGTATGCTGCGGCTAAATAATTCAGGACGAATACGTTTATAATTTGCTTTTGCAAAGTAAAATTTTTGGGAATTTTGGCCTCAAAATCGATCAGTTCTTCAAACGAATCAATCCTCATAGGGCTGGCAAGTAAAAGTCTTATCAAAATTACCGAAAGTTTTATAAGAGACGGAGCTGCGTTCAACATGTTGTGCCAACTCAAAACAATCTGTCATACACATATAAAGTCGTTCTGGCCCCCGAGTGGCACATAATCAACTTTCCGACTTTAAGCCGCAGGAAAATATCGTTTAATTCCTGCGGGGCCACTCATTTTGCCTGAAAATCACTGGGCCCCATAGGAGAGTCCTAAAGGCGTGCCTGACGACGTTCGGGGCCCCATTGGGGCCTCCGCCTACACCCAGAAGAATTGTCGGGGCATTCCCATGGGAATTTAAAGTATATTTTTTTAAACACCACCAAATATTGCTTGAGTGTTGCGGATGTTGCTAGAAAAATTGCGATGACTAAAACCAAACACAACACACAGAATTCTAGTGTGTTTAGCAGGGGCTTTTGGAATTCTCCAATTATTGGAAAATCTCCGTTTGCTTTGTACAAGGCGTGTTGAAATGCTAACCATTGAGCGAGTTTTTAAAATAGAGACTTTAAGATAAATCAAAGATACATGTTAGGATCGGTAATGAATCGATTTTTATTCAAGAAGATGAGTTGCAGAAGAACTACATTTTTAGTTTACTTTAATATATTAGTTAAAATGTCTTGATGCAATTTGTATTCAAGATTAAATGAGTCTATTAATAAAAATCGACGTGTTCATCCGACTTATTTCGAAAAAGTTAATAATAATGAATAAAAACTATAAATAATAGTAAATCTAAAATGTAGATATGAGAAAATGCCTAAAGTAGATAGTTTGGATAAAATAAGGATCGTTTATCAAGATGTGTTAGTCTCATCCACAATCGGAACCGGTTTCGAGCCTATTGGGTCACATCAACCGAGTTTAACCTGAAAATAACACTCTCGAAACCTGGACTTGTGTACGGGGTGACCCAATGATAGCATCAAGTAAGTTTACGCTTAACCGGTATTATTTATTTCAAAAGTTTCATCGCCATATTTTAAAAGAACTAATGTTAAAAATATTTTCAATCAACTCAAAAGTTGCAGCTCAAAATACAACTTTCTTTAAATGAAATTCCCTAATTTTTACTTTTGAATTTTTACGCAAATTTCTGTACTGTGTACTCTGTAAAGGAAATATTCTTTATTGCCACGGAAAAATTCACAAATTTTATGGACAAAGCGAGTCAAAAAACAACAAAATAGTGAATTTTTTTTTTAAATATATAATAAAACTTAAGCTTAAGAGTGCTATTTTCAGGCTAAACCCAGCTGGGGCGAGCGAATAGTTTTGATCCTGCACATAAGGCTGCCTGATACCAGAACGGCTCGAAAAATGTACCTTCTAATAACAAAAACGTTTGACTACTCTCAGCCCCATTTTATCTTCATAGATCATTTTAATAACACCGAAAAATTAATTAATCAATCCAAAGTTTTGTGGGCTCCTTTAAACGTCTCAAATTTACAGTGAAAAGCTGAGTAAAATAAGTAGTTCCTGATGAAATCATGCAAACAAGAAGCGATTGCTGTTCCAAACTTGTCCGGTTCTTATAAAGTGAGAATTACTAAACCTGAAGTTTCCCATTCATCATAAAGTTTTCACAACAGATTACGTCAGACATACCGGGCGATGCGTCTCGTTAAATTCGCATTAAAAAGTAAAATTTCATATCGAGTTTAAAAGTTAGAGGGCGTATAATGTTAATCTAATAGAGCCCTCGGGAAATATCCACCACGTACACAGATTGATGGCAACAACGTTTTACAATTTTCTGAAAATACATTCTATCTTTTTTTTTTGGTTTTTGACATTTGTTAGATGTCGTCACTAGAAAACGGAATAAGCCTTTTAAACTTACCAAAACTGGAGCAGCGAGAATTAAATTCTCCTGGATGATTGACTAAAATTAAATTTAAGAAGTTAAGCGGCGAAATTCTCCCCTTTGGCGTCGAGACGCGGGCGCCGCGTCAGCAAATTTGCGCGAAACTGATTTTGTTAGAGGCAATTTTTAACAACCGACGAACAAATTGATCTCTGTTCGCTAATAAATTCATGCATTATTTCAGAAAAGTTAGCAATTTACTGAGCTAATATTTGTAATAATCAGAACCGAACAGAGGAAAGTAATTTTGGGGAAGAATAGGGATACAAAGATTTTTAGGGACGAACAAAAGTGCTAAAGGGTCGCAAATATGATGGGCCCGATTATCGCGCCACGTGATCGCCACGTGGCTTAACAATGAAGGAAACAGTAGCGCCCACGTAGTTTCCTTATCGGAAACTGACTTAGCCGATCTACAAACATTGTTTTGTATGGAACTACATTTACATGATCATTAGACGGGACGTATATCCTGAAATATGATTACAATTTGAGAGGGTTTGCCGGATTACTCTGGGCAGGGCTCAAGATGGATCTAATCGGAAAAAAATCTACAAGAAACAGAACAATTCAAATTCTCCTCAAAACTCATTAAGTTAACGATATCGTCCAAATGAAATTAGATAAAATTATTTTAATAGCCTAATCTGCTCGCGTGTTCTATTACGCCTAATTTTTGCAAATTTATGCCATAATTACTGCCCTTAAACAGAGTATCTTCGCACCGAATTGTAAGGGCGTATTGCCCTTAAAATGTTTTCATATCTTGTCATGGGCCCACTAAAACCGCAGGCCGGAAATTACTAAATAGAATTAATCTACTAAAACAGCAGGCATTATATGGAACCAATAAGTAGAACTGAAGGATATTGATTTTTTTTTCTGAGGTGGACTTCAATTTTTAAGTGAAAAATTGAAAAAACAAGTCATTAAACCTGCAAAACTGTTGATGACTAATCGACTTTACTTAAAGAAGCTAAACTGCTAGTCAAATAGCAATTTCATATATATATTTTTAATTTCCAGATGCAATGCGAATTTTGTTTCCTCCAAATATATTTGTCGTTCAGGGGGTGAATTTTGTAACGCTTGTCTAAAGATCTTCTGCAGTTTGTGTTTACCTGAAGAAGGAGTACATGAGGCACATTATTTGGACTAGTTCTTCTTCATATTCATGAAGATTTCCTGTTAAAATTATATCGAAGGGAAAGTGCTTAAATATTTTGCAAAGTCCAACTAGGTTTCCAAGAGATTTTGTCATATTTTTACAACAACAGCCAAATCACATTTTTTAACAACAAAAGTTTGTATTTTTAAACATGGCTTACCACAAACGAGATTTGAATGATGGATGACTTTCTTGGGGATTCGATCTGGGCAGTGGTGAAGAAGAAAAAGAAAAACCTTTTTGCTACCTAGCTTACGGCGACTGTTAAAAACGTTAGTTCGACTAAAAAAGTCTTTCTTTTTCTTCTTTACCACTGCCCAGATCGAATCACCAAGAAAATCAACTATCTTTCAATTATTCGACATCGGTCAAGAAACTGGAACTGGAACAAAAGAGATTGTGCAAAAAGAGATTTTTCATTGCAAACTAAGTTTGATCGATTTTGGCAAAAACTGCGATTTCCAGCTGACCTTTTGAATTAGATTTTGCATCAAAATTATTAGTTTAAAGTTTTCTTTGGTAAGACATTAACAGCAAACATCGATGTTTAAATCCAAAAAAGCGCTTCCAGTTGAACCAGAAAAAGTATATTAATTTTCAATTTTCCAATTTCAGAGTTTTTCCTATTCTCTATCGAATTTTGACATTTCAATCTAAAAACGATTCCGAAGATTTGTGTGCAGTTTTCTTAATAAAAGCACCATTTTTCAAACTCTCATCATTAGAGTCTTTAAAAAGCGGCTGTTAATTTTGCAACTTCTGTCAAATAGCCTACTCTGGATACGTTTCCGGCCTGTTAAGCCTGTAGAAGGCCCGTGCCAGTCTCCCGTATCCTCTGGAGACCATCGATATACTTTTATGAATATGCACAAGCGCCTGGAACAAATTAATTTAAATACGCCCAGAGAGATAGCCCGAATGGCATTACGGCTGCTTCTGCTGGACAAGGACGTCCAACATCCCATGATAAGAATGCTAATTCCCTCGGGAATTTTTTGCCCTATCTTTTCGCATTTTTTTGTTAATATCCCGCATTGAAGATGAAAAACAATGAAGCTAACACGAATTTACCAGAAATAAAATCTTACAAAATCCATAGCACTGGATAAATGTTTGTATCTAGAATTTCGATATGGTTTGCACTAATTAAACATTTTGTAATTAGTAGGCTGAAATGTGAGTTTTCAAAGCTCTCCAGAGCACAGTTTCACTGTTAACATGTGGTTAAATTGATCCTAATGTGACAGAAGGGATAAATAAAGTGTTGGGCGCAGGCAAGATTATACTGGCGACATTGTGTAATAAAATTTCTCAATATTTCAGACACTTCCAACAAAACATGCTAAATTATTGACTAAAATAACATGTTTTTTAAGTATAGTTCTATTTCATTAATGATTCATTTCACTCGTTTTTATTTAAATTTTCGCTAGCCATCATGCCATTTCTCCAAAAGTGACGCGTACAAATTGCATTGAGTTTCACTAAAACTAGCTCATCAATATTTAAATTTTATTTACAATAATTTAACATGTTCGGCCCTGTTCTGCAAAAAAAATAATGTCATATCGATTATGCCATGCATTTTTTATCTAACATAATAATGATACAATTTTTCATTATTTATTACCCTTTGTTTTGATTCCTTTCGTTACTAGATGCACAATTAAAATACTGAGATTCTTTGAAGAGTCTCTGGGAAACAAAGCACTCTACTACAATAAATTGCAAAAAGTGAGTATTTGTTTGAATTTAAGCGCAAATCGCCCGACAACAAACAAATTTAATAAAAAAATATAATTTTTCCGACCCTGCGGTAAACAGGACTCTTTGTCTTAATTTCCTCCCTTGGTGAAACAACAATTGCCACTAATCTTGTTAAGCTTTCTCCTCAGTCTTGTTCCTGCTTTTAATCTTATTAGCACTACATGTCTAGGAATGTTTAGATACCCTGCGGCCGAAATAAAAGACTCGACGTACTTAAACATGAACGATTTATTAAGGGAATGATGCCAATGCGAAATGGAAAATTTCTGAAAATGTATCGACTTAAACTTTGATGTAAATTAGGAAAATTTGATGTTCTTCAGTCGACTTTTTAGGTCTTCAAAGTCTTTTCAAATAACCGATTTTTTGGAAAAATAAATTCTTTCAATGTTACGGCGTTTTCGTATCAACTCAGTACCAATGACGCGTTTTTTTGAGTCGTCTAAAAATAATTTAACGCCAGACAAAAGCCCATACAAAAGTGCGATTAATTAAGTGGCGAAAAATGAGTGCAAACTAGAATGAGCACAAATCTGCAACGGTAACTTATTAGCAGCTTGAGTGATACTTAAACTCCTGATCTGTTTTTTTAGAAAAAATTTTCTATGGGAAAAAATAAAGACTTATCCATACACCGGGCAAAAACTCCCTTCGTTCTCAACCCCATTTAACCAACTTAGAAACTCACCTGCTTCGTAACGGAGTCGATAAGCCTGACGTAGATATCCTGCTCCTGTCTGAGTCCTGCGACAAAACAAAAGCAATGTTAGTTATCCTGCAAGGCGGCATAAGACAAGCTTAGGGTGTTTATGCTGTGGTTTTAAAATAATCGGGTAAAAACTACCGAAAAAGACGAGCAAAAATTCGCTTCCATCTATGCAAACCAAGCCAATTTCGGCATTGTCTTTGCGAGTTCAACCAATATCTCTAAAGTCCAAGAGCTTAAGACGAAATCGTCGGTTTCAGAAATAATTTGCGGTCATTGAAGTCAGTTTCCTTCACGGCGGCGGTTTAGCAAGACCGATTTGGTAGCGGAATTAACTGGACAACAACGTTCGGACAGATTTACCGTCCAGGAAACTAACAGAAATGTACACTGTGGTGGCCTGCATCGGATACCGAATTATCAAGCTACTAAATCTACATGCTGGGGTTTCGAATTTACGCTTTAAAACTTTAAGAGACTACGAAAGCAGAAATGCGTTGTTTATTGCAATTTTTTACATATATTCAGTAGTTTAGCGCTAAAAACATATTTCAACCACATCCTGTGACCGTACTGATGCGGGCCTGAAGAAACCGAAAGACTCTTGCCCTTTAAGGATCGCATCATTGAATATTCCGAAACCGAGATTTTTAATTACTCGTCCACTAAATTAAGCCGAATTCTTGCCGACCTGATTGACCACAAACTCCAATTAAACGTCGAAGTGACCGGTAGATTCCCATTTGGGATTCAACAGGCGTTTGCTGGTTCTTATGCGTTTCCTTATACGCAATCTCAACAAATAGCCGCTTTTGTCAAGTGTAAATAAGAGTTTTTTGCCGGTCGACTCGAGCTGGTATTGTCAACGGTAATTGTAACTATAGTTCATGAATTGAGGCCTTCAACAGCTGCAGCAATAAAATGTTAATGGATGATGACGTGCTAGTTAACCATTCGCTGCAAGTTTATGTCGGTAAAAGTAATAATATTCGGATCTTTGTAAGGTATATAAGGGTCGTAAGATTTTCGAGGCGACCCGATAGGTAATATAGACGAAACAAACCTTAAGATCGGTGCTATATCTCATTTAGAGCCGCACACCTCAGTCAGGCCCAAAGGAGCACTATCCTCGTCCTTATTTGTAATAAAATAACTCGGTGAACGCTCTCCGAGGAAGGATATGGAAGAGCGACAAAACGACAGGTCGTTCAGGTTTAAGGAGAGAATTCGCAGGACGTTTTCCTTTAAATTTCATGCAGGATTTTTCTCAAAAGCTTTAAAGTTGCCAATATTACCACAGCTACCAAAGCCAGCAAACACCAGACTGTTAAATCAATAGCAACCAAATACAAGATGCTGTTTCTATTAATTTTTAAAGGATTATCTCTTCCATTTTTCTCTTGGGTTTGCGCTTCTTTTTTCTCCTTCTGTGGTGGAAAAACTATTGTATTATAAATGTAATGCAATGCTAAATTTTGCAAAAGTTATTGTTTTAGTTTATATACATCAGAATATATTTCTTCTAGAATTATTGTTATTCTTATTATTGCTATGTTTGAAATTATATATCATCCGAATATATTGTAAATAATAATAACCGAATTTGGGCAAAATAAATGAAAATAAACATGATAAATAATCCAAATCAATTACGAAAGACCCTGCAAGAAAGTATGGAGGAACCTTGCAAAACGGCGAATGATAAAATATGGAAATATTTGAAAATTCTAACGACAAAATTCACAGAACAAATCTGTGGACTAGGCAGCAAAATACACAGTAATAAAAAACATGTATAAAGAAAGGAAAATGGTTAAGGCCTGGCAACAGTCCCAATAAATATATTTGAAAAGACAATAGGACAAAATAGATGAACGCGGTTTTTTAAGTCTACTTAAAACGTGAAGAAATACAATTTGCAGGGGAAACACAATGAACTAAAAAGACCAGAGCGTGGAAATTTCATATCGAAACAAGAAAAAGTAACAACATGTTAGCAAGAATATTTTCAAGAGCTTTTAGAAATGCAAGTGAACAGATTCTCCAATGATAAAAAAAATTAACGTACACTAAAGCACTATTACACAACAGCAGGATGAAGAAAGTAAAGAAGATACGCCTAAGTTTTCTGAGCTGGAGAAATCGTTGGATCAGGCGCTTAGAGAAAAAAATAAGGAATAGTTTATAAAACAGGAAAACAGAAACATAAACGTCTGCAAGAATTGTAAGCAAAAGATAATAATAAACTAATGATTATTTCAGTTTTTAGCTAGGAAAACATATCCGAGTCGTTAAAAACCAAGTTTATGAAATTACGATGTTAAGTTTCAGAATGAAAAAAGTGCAAAGGAGAAAAAGTTCATTTAGAACATTTTAAATTGCAGAATAAACACCGTATGTTTTCAGAAAGTGCCCGTAAATTGCACAGGGCCATTTTTCATGTACTTTTAAGATAAAAAGTCCATTAAGACATGCCTCCAGGTGTCGAGCTATAGGGTGTTAAAGGATTACCTAAAATTGTTGTTTTCCTACATTACAACACACACAAAAACTGCCCACTAAACCTAGGTACATTTTGAGATATTAAAGGTTAAAAATTTAGTTAAAGAAGTGCTGTGAGCTCTATCAAAACAATTCTTATCTCCCTGAAAGCACACTTTTAAACGTTACTTTTAAAGAGATGGGAGAGAGAATTAAAATGGGAAAGTTCTGCTTTAACTTCAACTTCCCTCAAACATTTTTTTGTGAAAGTTGCATAATATTTTAGGGTCGATTTTAGATGACTAAAAATGTTGCATGGGCACAGCGGGACTGAACTCTAACGGGCTTCGAAAAATACAAAAAATTATTGGTTGTTTGCCACGCTTCAAGGCAGAAGAAGTGTAGGGACCGAAAAGGCAGCTTCTTAAAAATGTATGCATGTAACAATTCAGGCAAACATCGCTTGAAATAGTGTTTAGGTATCCTCTAAGTCGGTTTTTTGGCCAGGTTTTCTTAGACCAGTTATTTTCAAAATAAGTAAGCATTCGCATAAGCTCGCGCTTACCAGAAAAATTGCAACTAGTTGTCCACGACCATTTAGACAGTCTCGCTCTTACCGTTTACGCAATAATGAAATCCAGCTCACATATAGTCGACCAACTCGCAAAGGCAATTAATTAATTAGTTTTACTGAATGGCTTATCAATTGTCAATTATTTCTATTGACGGCGCGTTCGTATGCCTTTTCGGCCGAGCCAGAAAAACACCATTTACACTTTGGTGCGGCTATTTGTAGTCGGACTTATAAGGAAGTCCGAGACAGTCACCGACGTAAGCGGAATTCCAAGTAAGTGATTTTTTCGTTCTTTAATTGTATTTAGTTAGAGAGTCGCGGATTCGGCGATCCCCAATCGAATTTATGCTTTTCATGCCTTCAGCTAGGCGTTCGACGCACTTACCGTTGGCGAAGAGTAATTGGAGTCTGTACTGGATGCCGTTGTTCGTTTTCTGACCATCTGCTTCCTGAAACAATAACATTTTTCTGAAAATTGCTAAAGTTTCACATATCTAGGATCAGCTGAAAAAATCATGTCAGTCTTCAAAATGTTACTGAGTCTTATGGTGGAGAGAGAATAAGGAATAACGTTTAACGATTAAGGCGTATCTTAAAAGTTCGTTACGCATCAGTCCATAGAGGTGTTTATAAACCGAAACCTAACGCTTAAGGAATAAGGCTTAATAAAGTTGCCAACTTTTAAGTTTTATCTTATGCGTTAGGCGTTATTCTAATGAGGCATGTGCAGTTTGTAAGATAGATGATATTTCAAAATCACACGTGACCGCCAAACATCGTATTTACATTTTGCTGTGAGGTTAGAAAACGAAACTATTAATCCAAAAAGAACTACCACTTCTTCAGTGGACAAATCCACTTTAATGTCCAATATTTATGTGAAATTAAGCTTTTATTGGTATGTTACCGCCATAATGTTGACATCAACAGACACAACCCTATTGTTCCTTAAGCCTATGCTTCCATTTGATTGGCTGTACATAAAATAATATTGTTCCTTATTCTGCTTTATAAACACTCCATTAGGCGTTATTTCTTAAGCGTTATTCTTATGCCTTAAGCCTTATCCTTATTCTCGTGTATAAACCCACTATTAGTTGCTCTCTTTAGGAAAGGTAACACATCGGATTTAAGATGTGGCCCTAAAGGCCTCTAGTTTTTAAATAATTATTGACTATTTGTGGGTACTTTTGATTGAATTTAGACTAAAAGTCTTTAGTTACCTCACTTATCTTACCTACTTAAACTTATCACCAAAACAAGCTCTTAAGGGCCAAAAATCTATTTGGGTGAGTTTACGTTAAAGTTATCATCCGGGAAATGCAATCCACCCATTGTTTGTTCGCCCCATAAGACTAGATAACAAAGCAAAAGATTTTCTGTCAAAATAAAATTTATACAATTTCTGGTTGTGTCGCGTTTTATACTAAACCTCCACCAATTTTTTCCTTTTCCACAATTTAATAGACTTAATCAAATTTAAAACTGCCCACTTCATATAATAAAAATCTGAAGATTCGTACGTATTTTCATGTTGACTTTGATGCAAAAATCTTTAAACTTTTTCCTCAAATTGTTATCTTAACTCCACTCGAATATTTCATCCTATCGGCAAATCTTCACCAGTTCCCTGGATCTGATTTCGTATAAATCGATGAGATCGGTTGCCGCTAGTAAGTTATCGGCAAGCCCGAAAACGCATTCGGGAACAAACAGGAATTAACAACAAAGAGTGAATAAATTTCTGTAGCCGTTTATCACCCCCGGGCTAAATACCGGTATCGATAACACCGTATAACGGGCTTTATTGTAAGATTTATTAAGATACATTGACCGTATAGATGGCGCAACTGCCTTTAGCGTAGATAATGTAGAGGAGGTTTCTACCAAGACTATCTAAAGGATCTAAGCTAGAACAGCCTGACTTTTGCCATTAGAACTACTCGATTCAAAAAACTGTAGAAAAAGTATTAGACAGTTTATTCATTTTGCGAATAATTCATTTTCCATAGAGTATTTCCTCATTAAGGCTGTAATAAGTTAAGCCGACTTCATATGGCTCCAGACCCAACCTTACCTATCCAGACACACCTCGGAACGATCCATCAAAAAGGTTATTTATTAAAAAAGAGAGTCGCTCACGTTCATTTAACGTGTTCCCACAAAGTAACGTGTTTATGTAAACAGTTTTTTTCGATTAATTTTCAAGTCCTCTACCATGTTTAGATAATGGAGAACATGGAGAGCTGATGATGGATAACGATAAGCCGCTTCCGGGGGCAATATTTCAATCGGCCTTGCGGTTTTTAATGTCCATTACATGGGGTGGTTTTACGCTTTTTTCATGGTTTGGTAGAGGAAATAGCGATAATAGTCTGGAATGAGTGGATAGTGGTCACTATCCAGTTAAAGTCATAAAGGGAATTTCTACTGGGTTTGGAGCTTAAAGCTGTAGCACCTCAGAAGGCGTGTTATTTAGCATCAAATATGCTCTAAGAAGAGAGATTTTTTATTTGCAACGTATATTTATACAATTTTGGAAAATCAATGCAACGTTTACAGCGGGAAATATCATATCAAAGTAACAATTTCCGTTTAACCATTTTCATGAAAGGCACAAGTTACGAGACGAAACCGAAACGGCGGTAATGTAGAATTTTAGCGTCTGTGGCGTCGTTTCCATGGCAGCGCCGCCACGCTTCAAAGTGTACAATAGCGAAAGTGAGAGGAATAAATACCAGATGCAGGGACGTAACAATTTGCCCAATAGTTAGTTCAGATTTGGCCACAGAAATAATCACAAATTTGCATTGTTTTTGCATCTAAAGCTCCGAAAACGTACATGGCTTGAAGTCTTCAAGTTCTTCTGTTGCTTCAGAAATGTCTCAGCAAAAGACCAGACAATACCGGATACAGACAATACAAATTTGGCAAGGATGCAACTGAAGAGGTTGAATAAAAAGTAGCAGTTTGTTTGCAAGCGGAAGTTAAAAATACTTATCTGCTGTCACTGCGGTAACATTCAAAATTTTCAGAATTGCATTAGAGAATAGAGAAACAGCTATAAAAATGATCAGTTAAATGCTCTGATTCACTCAAGCATTTAGCTCCGCCGCTGAATGTACAACGCAGGAATTCGCAGGAATGAGCGAGATACGGTACAGGAAAGTAATTGCGTTTCACGCTGGGCATTTATCATAAAAGGGCTATTTTGAATATTCACTGCAGGGAAAGTAAACCGGAAATTAAGTTTTATTGGCAGGCGTTTTGATAGGCTCCGTGAAACTTAACAATAATTGGACAATGAGCCGTTTGTTACATTTTCTCGCACTGTTACTGGATTATCAGAGTAAATAATTAACTTTCATTTGGGTTCCAAAATATACCTGGATGATCAGCGGAAAAGGGACTGGAGAAAGTAAAAATTCTGGAGCAGTTGCTAAAGCACACAAGACAAATAAGAGAAATAAAAACAGGAAAACTGTTACGAAGCAGGAAAGCAGGTGTCAGCGAATCTTTTAAAATGTATAACATCAATAAGAACCAATGGATGGAATATTGCCACATTATACGATGCTGGCGATTCTGTTCAAATAACCTCTGATTGCGATGGACCCAAGACTTCGAAGACTTAATCTCTGAAGTGAAAATCCCTTCAAAAGGAGGTACCAAGTCAACCAGTGAACTCACCAAAGTGATAAAAATAATATTCCGTCAAAGTTGAATCCCCCAGGAGTGAAGCACCATTGCCACAATCCCAGTTAATAAGAGAGGCATGAAAACTGTCCCCTCTAATTATAGAGGAATAACCTGACTTCGTACAGGTCTAAAGCTAGTAACAAAGATCTTACTGAATAAGTGAGAACATTTTGTTGAAGCCACTAAAGAACAATATGAATTTAGAAGAAACTGATCAACAGTGCGCTGTTCATTGTCCGGCAGGTCTGGAGCCAAACAACTGTTCCTTGCTTCCTTGATTTAAAAATCTTATTTTAAACAAAAATTCCAGTTAAAAACCAGACTAATGATGAAAAACTGCTTGGTCTGAGACCTCAACAGAGCGACAAAATTAATGTTGAATCGCCCTGTAAAAGCTGGTGGCTTGAATTCGCTGAATCATCTTTCAAAGGTGAGTAACGGTCGAACTTTTTACCTGGTCTTTTTCGATGAATCCGATGAATGCGGTCCGTTCAATTTCGATGGGTTGCCCCGCCCTATCGTAGAGCGCTATCACAAAATGGAAGAAGTTGGATTTTCTTAAATTGGACGGCGGCTGTTTTTCGAAATGGGCCCTTCCAACAGTCGACCTGAAACAGAGCAACACTTATGTCTTTTGTTATTCTTTTTGCTCGCGCTTTCAGTTGATTTTTCGTTGGTTAATACTGGCATGACAGATAGCGGTGAGGCGTTAATGGGTTTTTAATATACCGCATCGTTTACGGAGCGCCTCCACGCGCGATATGCATAAATAAGCATAAAAAGACCATTACTAAATTAGCTGGAAGACACTCCTTGGAAATAATATTAATTGTTAATTCCGTCGTGGAACGCCACTTGACGTTTTATCCGTAATTGCCGACTTATCTCATGAAATCAAGCAATCAACAAATATATTCCTCCTAATGAATCAGCCATATTAAAAGATTATGGATCGGACTGCCGGATTAAAGCTTTCAGGAATGATGATGGATAATTAAAACATTTACAATTTTTTACATCAGCATGAAACGGCTTTGACACGGTATTTTAAATATATACAATGTCTCCAATCTGAAAGGTACAGTATGACTAAAATAGAATTCAATTGAAATTAAAAACCAAAAGAGATCAAATTATTACAAAACCCACAAATCAAATAAAGACGGGAAAAACTCGGATGTTTCTCGCAGAAAGGACGGGCGTGGTTCGGAAGGTGAAGAAGATATTCTGGTTGATTTAAACAATAGTTCGAGGCGTACAAGGCATGAGACACTTCAACTTTAAATTCTGCAAACACCGGAGTGCTGAGACCACATATTTTTTTGATTTTGTTTTATTCTACATTGAGTTGTTAAATGAAAGCATTGTTTGTTGAAATTCAATAGGTATAAAAATCTTCTTTTGTTTTACTTTTTCTTAAAGTTTTACAACAATTGCCTATTTTAAGTATCTAACGAATCCATGTAATTCCAATCTAATTATTTGTCATCAAACAGTGAAAGTTATATGACAGACCATAGAGAACCAATAAAAAAAAATGTTCGAAAGAAGACAATATAAAATACATTTAAAAGTGAACAGCAACTAACACGCCTTTAAAAGGAAGAATGAAATGATTTTGTGCAAATACAGTCCGAGCATTTGCTGTCTAATTAAACCCCATTATTCCTAATTTTCCAAAAACGCCCCAATCATTTTTGCTTCCACCAGTTTTACCCTGCAATTGATCGGCTAATTTCAAGCAACCTTATAGGAAATGATCTAAAGTATAATCCATCCTAAGAAAGTTTGTTTACGTAGGTGGTCTATAACGAGTTAATTGTATTTTTTCCTCGATAGATAAGTTTAAAATAAATCAATCATACGTAGACGTTTCGTTATAGATTGAGGCGATATGGCCCTAATCAAGCTAAAACGATTGGCAAAAAAACTGCCTGACATAAACGCTATCGACAATAGCTTTGTTATCGGCGAGAAAGTCGATAATGCCCGGTGGTGGAAAAAGAGAGATTTATTGTCGGCGATTTTTTGTCGTTTTTCGTTTGTTAATTTTGGCGGTATCAGGCCCAATTGACGCTTATGGCTCGAATTTTTTTAGAACGGCAAAATTGCCAAAAACTAATTCGAGCCTACACAATAATTTCAAGGAAAATGTTGCCAGAAACTTTTTATAGGTATGTATTAATTATTTTTTAAAATTAGTTTGAACAGTTCTGAGAAAAATCCTCTGATGGTGACTTTTTGGGACATAATCTGAAGTTGTCCCATACAAGCTGACCCTTAATAGAGCTTTAAATGTCACCTAGAGCATTACGGGTCAGTGAAAAGGACAATAGCGGGAACAATAGTCGTCCCTTGCCAACCCTTTAGTAACCAGCAGCGTCCATATGGCTAAACGATAACATTTAATTGTAGCCGGTGATTTTATCTCGAATCCAGAAATTCTATAACAGCATTGTCGACTGCTCTTTTGATGCCCATATGTGTATGTGTGTAGTCGTTTGGAAGGGGGCAAATCGCGCATTGATGTACTCAGTTCTAAGCCACGTTATTGACTGTCCCTCAAATGCTATAGAAAAGCGATTTTTTGCGTCCATTAGCACAGATTATTGGCAATGAATATAGCAAAAGGAAGAGGACAAAAAAATAATTGGTTGAATGTAACGAAAAACAATGAAACTGCAGATAAATGCTTACAATGTTTCAGTCAGTAGTTAAAGTGCTGAATTACATAAACGGGGCATCTCAGAGCTAAAAGCCTGACCATAATTTCAGAAAACGACATTAAAGGGGGCCCTTTTTGTGCCTCTTTTTTCCTTTTCGGCGTGTACAAAATTAATAGGAACAAACGAACTCGAACATTTACCACCTTCATTAACGAGCCGGTATAAATTATCGCGAGGGCATAATTCACTCGGCTCACGGGCATATTTCAGTCCTGCCAGGAACAGGACGGGATGCTGCGGAAGAGAAACCGACTAACACAAAATCCCGGTTCAAAGTTAATCCGCGCTTTTTCCACTATTATAAAATATATTTTTTCCTGATCATCTTCGAGTAAAAACGACATAAAATCATTCCTACCCATTTTGATCAGCAGCGCCGCCCTGCATCCATCCCCTAGTTAGGGGTTCTTCTTTGAGGCTGGGGCCCCTGGGTTGATGATGGTGGAGACCAGCGGCGGGGTCCTGATGATGGTGCAACCCGAACATGAGTCCAGCCCCAGTTCGGGTGGGGGTCGCCCCTGGGGGGTAAAGTTTTCGACCCCAGGCCGCGTCCAGGTCCAGACTCAGAGTAGGCCAGGGGGAAGGCGTCGGCACGCCTGGGGTGGCTTCGTCCGAACGCGTGGTGGAGCCGTTTGGGGTACCCTACAAGAATTACCCACATTTAGCTTGATTCCCCGCTGTTCATTCACAAGTTTGATCTGTTTTTGTTTAGGCCATATTCCCTTGTTTGCCTGCATTGTTCCACGCTCAAGTAGCATTTTGTCCTTCTTATTACTTTCAAACTTTTTCAAAATTCGAAGATTACTACTTAACAAGAAATAAGGTTTTGTTTTGTGTTCAATCTGCGCTCGATATACGTTTTGTCTACATTTATTTATATCCATAAATCAAATAACTTCAAAACTTATGTTAGCCACACTCATGGGACCAGGAATAGAGAGAACAAACGCCTGAAAGTGCCAAGCATTAAAAAAAATATCGGACACCGATTTTTGGATTATTTGGCTCCTAAATTCTATAATGTCCTACCGCATAACTTGAAAAGGATATTAGAAATTTTAGTAAGAGCTGCAGAAAATTTATTTTTCAAAATATAGACAAATTTGATTTTTTTTAGTGGTTTTTGGGGATGTTGCTTCTTGGTGATGGTAAAATTAATTTAAGTAAACTATGTGTAAAGTTTTGTTTTGGTTATTTCATGTATCTTTCTTTTCGTTTAAATTAAATAAATTAAATTAGTTTTAGGTATATTTCAATTAAATTAAAACTTAGGGCGTATGTCATAATTCTTGGAAATCGTTTTCATTTGGATGATGCATACAAATGTCTGGAACATTTAGGCATCAATATATTAATTAAGTTAAGTTTAGGACTTGAAACTTTTCAATTTGAGATGCTAAAACCTTTTGAAGATCGATTTATTTAAAAATAGTCAAATTGGACGAAATGTCTAAATAACTCGAACTGAAATTGAAATAGACCTTTAAGTCACGAGCAACTTTAGAGCTACTTGCAGCTTTTGTGTTTATAGAGTAAAATAGAGAGTAAAATAGAGAGTTTTGTGTAATGCATTTCACTATTATTTTACGCAAGTACACCAGAATTAATTTGAGTTAAGTAGTTTGGACCTTTCCATTTAGTCATTTCAATAACTGATTTTTCTCTAAACTCCTCGAAACAATTAATATTTAGTTATTTTCATGTGTATTTTTCAGGCAAATTTATCTTATCTGAAAGTTAATAGTTTACTAGGAACTTGACACCCTGGTTCTCACCCATCTAAATAAACTTTTGATTTTTAAAAAATGTATTCTTAACCAGCCTTATTACAGGATGAAACAACAGGAGTTACTAAGTTCAAAAAATCACTAGAGGTTTCAATATGAAATATTTGAGATTTCGACTGGGAACAAGTAGGTACACATTTTCTGTTTAGGAAATGTCGATGAACAAAAAATTGTTGGTATCCAAAAAAAGCTACCTATATTTGGAAACTCAAAAAAATTCTGATGCTTTAAATGGCTCCAAGCTATTATATCGATATATCAAAGTAAAAATCCGCCAAACACATTTTCTTTGGTAATAATAATTGTGAAATCCATTAGAAATAATTGAAGATTTTATTTACGCTTTGACACCCTGAGAATCTATTAACTTTCGGATAAGACAAATTTGTCTGATACGCAATATTTTTTTGCACGCGGCTAAATTTGTCACATTAATTGAGGACCACCCTGTATATTAGTGTCCTCTCAAGATATGAAGAATAACTTGACGATTTTGGCATTTGTGAAAAAGTGTCTTTTATCGTTAAAGGTCAAAGAAAGCTTGGTAAGTTATGCAGAAGAGAGCAAATAATATTCGTTTCAATACATCAATTTTTATTATTTATTTTTTAAAAATAAATCGATCAGGATATTGATTATTAAATTAAAATAAGTGAACTGTACAAGTTTCGAAAATCAAAATAATTTATAATAATAGGAATCTGTTCAAGAAAAACAATGTAAAAAAGTGAAGTGAAATGTAAAGAATCTTTTTTTGTGCTCTCATGTTACGTTACACTTAATAAATATTTTTTCAGCAGGTAACAAAGAAAAAACGATTTTACAATATGACCATTTAATTAGTGGATGGTTCCTAGAGTGAAAATGTTACTCAATTATTGTCATTAATTAACTAATTGAAATGAAAATCATTATAAATAAATAATGGATGCTTTCGAACCGAATTAAAAATGAGAGTTGAAATATTAAATGTTCTTTGCATAAATTTAAAAAAAATTAGTACGCAAGAAACGACATGAAAATGTAGTATTCCGGCTACAAATCTGCATTGAAGATTTATTTTAGTTTAAACTGACTGAATCTATTTCTAATCAAAATTTTCGGCTCTATGAACCTTTTTCCTCTAAAAAGAAAAAAACACTAAACCACAAAGACAGGAAATTGAATGCCTCATTAAATTGTACTTAAATGTGTTAAAAATATTTCTGTTTTTATTTTTTCTATTCACACTATTCTTGGTTGGTATCAAATTATGCACATTGCCAAGAAAATCTGAATTTTCATCTAATTAAAACGTGAAAAAAATACAAAAAATTTAAAAAAATAGTGTTTTAAATTTCAATTTTGAATCGAAATGAAAATTTGAAACTGTAAAACAAATTGAGACTCTGTTGTCCACCTGATTGCATGTATACTTAATTGAAAACCAATTTGAAACAAATGTAAGGTGCAAAAGTGAAAAAAGTCCAAAGAAACAAATGCAAACCTAAGCAAAAATTGAAGAGAAATTTGCCAAAATTGTGACTTAGATAACCTTAGTTCTACCTGCTACATTCTTCTTCTACGTCATTATTCTTGTACGTTTCATTCTGCTGACTTCGCAGAATGATTAAGTGAGTTTAGCCTCAGTGTTTCAGATTTGTTCACTTTAACAGCAATTTCAGTAGGTAGTTTCTTAGAAACAAAATTTAATTTAAACTACAATATAAAATTGATGAGAACGAGGAAAGATGCAAAATTCTGTTGTGTTTCAACCTTCTTTTTCCAATACCTACATGTTTCTCGTTTGAAGTCTTAGCGCGTTATTTCTATTCTACTTTTTATTATGCTTCAGTTTATTCAAATTTTTTTCTCATTTTTTGACATGGTTGAATTTTTAAATAAAATGAGACAGTTTTTTCCAATTGAAATGCAAAAGTGCGGATTTTCAGCTGAGGTTATGGAGAGTTGGCGACACTTACCTAGCTCAACAAAAAGTGGAAAAGTGGCACAAAAATCCACCAGGGTTCAATCCACTAAGGAACTGTTCCTCGCTATTTTCGAGTGTCGGATCACCCACGCTTTGGCACAAAAACCAATTTTTTCCTGAGAACCCGGTAAACGTGTCGCGATACAAAACGGTCTCCAGAGCGACAACACTGATGATGTCAAATGTCCCGAAAGACTCCCGATTTGCTCCCTCGCGAGAGACATCCAAATCGCTACTGCTAACCTCAAGTTTCGCCTGCTACTACCGTTATCCCTAGGGAGGAGCGACTTGCCCAGCTCTATCCTGCTTCACTCCACCTTCAGGATCCCCTTTGCTTCGTCACACTGCCAGCGACCAATGAGAATGGCGCCCGCCAATTTGCGCTCGCCAATTGCAGCACTCAAGCTCGTGGGAAGGTGGGCTTTCACTGATGTGGCGGGGATAGACGTGCTCCCCGGGGGTGAAATGTCAAGGGGGGCGTATGAAGTTGGTGGCGCTAACTGGGGAAAATGCATGGAAGTTTGGGGGGATGCAGTTGGAGAGTAGAGTTCGTTATTTGGGGAAGCGGAAAAAGACCGGAAGTTTGGGGTGGAAGTGGCGGCGCGTAGGTGCAACAGTGCCAAGTTTAGGAACTTGTGTTGGGGATGGTACACAGCGGGCGAAATAATTTGACTGTTATCTGGAAAATTCACTAATGCATCAGTGTTTTTACTGTTTAGAAGACTTCATTGGGAAAACGAAAAAAATGGGAAATAATCAGGAGGAGAAGCACCACCATACACCATACGGTTGCAGAAAACCTGGTTACCACTTAAATATTTTCAAAAGTCTTCTCGCAAATCTAAAACTTTGAAAGAAAGTTAGTTCTGTTTAAGCTTTAATTAATCATTGAGCCTCGAAGATAGTGACTGAAGGTGTAGATTTTTCAACATAGGGTTTTCTTCATAAAGGTCAAAAAATGTTGGGGAAATAATCTAAAATAGATCTTGAGTGCAACTTGCGGATTAGCTTTTTCTGCTACTAAATTCAAAACTTTGGCATTCGTGTGTTCTTCTGCACAGAACTAAAAAAAATAAAAATTTGTTTTTTACAGTGAACGCGAAAAGGATCCACACTTGAAATTTGGCACAGTTGTTCGATAAAGATACATTTGAAATAATGTGCGAATTATTATTTGTTCCCACCAAAGGAGAATTATTCTGCTACAACTATTGATGCCCATTTACTCCGTTGCCATCAAGCCCATATCACAATGGGAAAACTGAGGAAGATCATCCGAGATTATGTAATATTTTGAAAAGATTAGCAGCTAAAAATAAAGCAAGTTTTCCTTGCATTCTTATATAACAAAATATCCTGGAGACCTCACAGCTTTCTTAACAGAAGTTTCTAATACTTACAGAAAACGTTAGAGAATCGGTTATTTGATACAGAATTCTATCGGAAATTGAAATCAAGTGGGATTTTCAAAACGGATGCATGATGAAAACATGCCAGTAAATTTTCTGAGTTTGAAGCCATAATTTAATCAACTGCAACAAAAATCGCTGACCGTTTGCAGTGCTGAAGCCCACTCTTGACCGACCCTTTACATGCAATATTTGCGATTCGGGCACCGTAAAATCTGGGACCAGGACAGTTCTAACATGCATTCTATTTAAAATTCTTCAACCGCCAAGACCAAAATGCCTGTCGCGTGAATAGCCATTCAACGAAACCGCAAAAGATCATTAATAACTTTCAGTAGCCGGGTTTCAAGTCCATGACTAAACCCCAGTAGCTAGTCGGCCGTTTTAAAAGTTTTTGGAAAAATGAATGACACCACATTTTGTCCAGTCCACGGGGGGGCATTTATTAGTAATAAGCATCGGCGGTTGGAAAACATTTAAAACTCAACTCTCGGGGGATTGATTTCCTAAAACGATCGGCACGGAATTTGCAGAATTTATAACTTTTGTAAACACATCGCGAGTTATCGTTTTTACAGCAGATTTTTTTGGGGGGGTAATGTAGGGATGACAGGGGTGGTTTAGCCGACAACAACGAACAAAATACGTGAAACAAGGTACCGACTTTTTCATTATTTTAGTATGTATAATGAGTTTGAGACACTCTGTTGAAGTTCTTTCTTAAGTGCATTTAATATTCCGTCTCCAACTGAGGCTTTGTGCTTAGAGATAGGATAGAGATGAGTTCCAGGAAAGGAAAGGATTCTCTCAAAAGATTTTAAAATGTGCCAGTCATGAACTGTTTGATTTTTCCATGTACAACTTCACCTGAAAAGTTTAGTTTTTACTTGTTTTCGAAAAATTTCATTACCTATTTAGAGCAAATTACACTAAAACTATTCCGTGGAATGTTTATTCCTTCAACTTTTCTAGCTTGATTTTGTAACAGCGAGTAAAATATAATTCTACAAATTTCAATTTTTTTGTTTTTGGTACTCACCTTTCTAGATTTAATTTTGTCGTCAGCTAACCCGCTTTGCTTCTTTCTAATTCTCCTCATTTCGGTCGGTTTTGCTGTGTTTTTATTCGCATTTATTTTATTGTGTTCTTATTTACTGTCGCATTTTTAAGCAATTTTCTTCGACGCTCGGAAAGATATTTCCAAGCAAAAAACTGTGTCAACCAGCAAACCGTTTTGAAAACGTTCACTGTTTAGATCAGCTGCTCTTCTTAAATCGTGGACTCATTTTGTTAAACTTACATACTCAATTATGCGCAATCGTGAGCAAATAAATAAAATTTGCAGAAATTGCAAAAGCTGAATATGGACACATTTTGGGAGAACCGAAAAGGGCAAAGTTGCTTCTATTTTTCCTTCTGTTAGGTCCTTTATTCATTCATCTTAAATCTTGCTCTGGTGTTTTTTAACCCACATATTCTACTCATTCTACCTCTTCCATCGCTTTTCTCTTTACTACTTCCTTGTGTGTCAATCTGAGTTCATTACTCATTCCTTCATTACGTTGCTTCACCTGTTGCAATTATTTTTGGCTTATTTTCGCGGTTATTTTGGCAGATTTCAGTGGCTAATCATGGAACAACTGCTAGATATAGCTTGGTGTCTTTAGCTGCATTTGCATTAATAGATATTTTCCTGTTGTAGTCAACTGGTCCATTCACATTTCCCGATTTGCTCTTACTTATCATTCCTGCAAAGTTTCCTCATCTCTAACATTTTATTTTATTAAATCAGCATTTTGTTTCAGAATGAATATCTAGCAGTTGAATGAATGCACTGCATGCCGGAGCAAAAAATAGTTTTAAAGAAATAGTGGGCCTTTCCAAGCCAAATTTGTTCATTACTAAATATGTGAAAAAAAAACATTTTTTCTGGGCGAGCTCATTGGGAATATATAAACGCAACTTGGGATATTGGCATTAAAAAACCACCTGAAAACTTTGAAAATTGTTTGAAGCTGAGACAGCGATAAGCGCAGCAAAAATAGATTAGTCATTCTTAAAAAAAAAACAGTTTTTGGGCCCCATAAGATTGAAATCTGAAAATTAAATATTCAACTTATTCCAGGCAAATATCGTGGGTTTAGAACGTCAAACTTCTCTACAAAACTATTCTTGTCGGTTCATTCGCTCTTACTGAATAATTTCCATTTTCCAGGTTCCTAATCCAGGGCCTGCTGCCAAGCTGTAAGAAATTACCTCAAATCCTCAATGCGGTTCTGCGAAAGATCATTCGGTAAAATATGCATGGCGATGAAATTGAGTGAAACGTTAGGTAGGCACAGGTTGTAAATCAATTTTTCAATATATCCGAACCGACTAACGGTGTGTGAAAATTCACCGAAACGATGTGCAGAGACGGAAAAGCCGAATAACCTGTCCGATTAGATGGAATAACTTGTAGCTTGTCAGGTGAGGGGATTCGTTGAAAGTTGGAACTCAGATCCGCAACGCACATTTTCCAACAAATACATTCACGAAAAATACAATATTTTTTCGCCTGGCTCGTTTCCAACCAAAGTACTATTTGCTATATCCTCTTATACAAAATTTGGAACATACGTTTGAAAGGTTATTTAAACACTATCTTTCCAGTAGAACGCTGAAGGATATCGATGGGAGGAACAATCTGGCCACATTTTTACCAATCGAGCCCCTTTATAAACATCTGGGACAGGTTTTTTTAAGAGATGGTCCAATAATTTATCCCGACAATGGGCCTAATCAATGCCCATCCACCAGCTTTTTAGGGTAGCTGGTGTATCGAACAACAAGCCTATTATGCTGGTAGCCCAGCCGAAGACCCTAAAATGTTTGAATTTAATGATGAAATACTGCGGATTTGTCTGCATTTGAAACATGACTATTTTTTTCTACTGCTATGAATCACATTCATTCGCAAATTGTTACTCTGATTGCAATTTTCTTACCAGACCTTCTTAAAAATGTGTAACCTCATCAATTGCATTTATTTTATAATAAATTGCCTTGTTTTATTATGAATTTTGTTATGATTTTATTATCTTGGTGTAAAAACAACCGGAACTTTTAATTTAATAGTTCGAATCCATGGATTTTTTTGAGTTGATGCACCATTTTTCGTGCCGACATTTTTGTCCTCTTTGTAAAATCTCGTACCTTTCATACTATTTTTGCAAAAAAAATCATTAGCTTTGTACAATAACATAATTCAAATTATGTGGATGTCGGGCCGGTCAAAACATTTAAAACGCTTGACAATTAATTTATTATAAAAGAGCCTTTTTGTTTACTGCGGAGTTTGCAGTTAATGCCTGAAATTTTTTATTAGCAAGGAAACCGAAATAATTTTTCTTGCGTAAAACGCTTGAATGACACAAGATTTTACTAAGAGCCTAAAAATATTTAAAAAGGATTAGCGCATGAAGTCAAAGAAAATCAGTTGAGTGCAGCTACCAACTAAAAATTTCTGGTGGCTTTTTTACCAAGACACTCGAGAATTCCTCAGTTGCTCAAAGCGGACGAACTCGGTTACTTTTTGAAGTTTAAAGTAACGTTAAATATATTTTTTTCTAATACATTTGACCATCAAGCGCAGAGGATTTAGAAGTGTTTTCGTAATAAAAGTTCAGTGATATCGTCTTTCAGAGATATTATTGAGATGGAAATTTTCACTTTGGTTCATATTTCACATCAAGTGCTGGAAATTCGAATCGAAATCGAAATCGAAAAAAAAATATTTAAGATGTATTTATTCATATTTAAACAGGTGTGCTTAATTCATTTTGAATCTGACGATTTCAAGATATTTTGTGAAAAACAGCCTGATACCTTTCTTCAACTTTAATATTT